TTGTGTCACTATAGAAATTGTTGGAAGTCACTTGTCTAATAATGGCACCTCTTCCATTCTCTTTTGTCATTCTGTCAGGGCTTCATTTGACCTATCAGGTGGGAGAAGAGAGAGATGCATGTGATCATTCAGTATGCCATGTTTAACTGAATGTCCTCATATGGTTATGGAAAACTTTGCATTTAATTACTTAAGTTCTGTTTAGAGAGTCCAGGCTTGATATAAAAAATAGTGTTGCCCTGGATATCCCCATCCAAGACAGCCACTTTTCATATTTTAAACTGATTCTTCAGGTTTTACTTTCTGGTCTTTAATAATATGCCCATTGTATTCATGTTCATTTTCCAGTTTAGGCATAAGCTATTGACTTTTAAAGTCATTGACTTAAAAAATAAATAGACCTTTTATTTTTGAAATGTAACACACAGAAAAAAATGCCTATTTATACGTAACCCTGACCCAGGGCAGAACATTCTATGACCCATATCCAGAAGCCTCACTTTGCCTCCTGCGGATTACTTCACAGTCCCTCATGTACAAGGGAGCGCTTTTCTAACACTACAGGTTAGTTTTGTCTCTTTGGCTTTTTAAATATACTAATGCAATCATACAGTATGTTACCTTTTGTCTGCTACTTATACTTCCTGCTTATAACCTTCTCCCATGTTGGGTTTTGTTAGGTTTTAATTTGAAATTTTATTTTGCAACCAACTGTTATAGTTGTTTGGTGTGATCTTTAACCATTATGAACTAAGTTGTAATCCTTCAAATTCATATGGTAAAGCCATGACCTTATATATGGTGAAGTGTGACTATGTTTGGTAATAGAGTCTTTATAGAAGGTTAAATGAGGCTACATGGGTGTGCCCTGATCAATAAGATTTGTGTCCTTATTATAAAAAGAGACATCAGAGAACTGACTCTCCCACCATGTGAGGACACAGTGAGAAGGCAATTGTCTGCAAGCCAGGAAGTGGCCCTCACAAGAACCAATCCGGCTGGCACCTGTATCTTGGACTTCTAGTCTCCAAAATTGTGAGAAAATAAATTTCTGCTTATTTTCCCAATCTATGGTATTTTGTTACGGCAGCCCATGCAGACCAATACAGCATTCTTCAGGCTACCATGTGCCTTTAAGGGACTTGAGATCTTTTTTTACCTGCTCTTTTAGGAGTTATAGATGCTTTAACACCTTTCAAGGGTAGGAATTGGGATCTTTTGACTAGCAGTGAATTGACAGGAAATGGAAAATAAGGATTTTTCTCCAGCAGATCCTGTCTGTTGAAGCAGGTTGGGGATTCCCTTCTCATGCATGAACTATCTTTATCCCTATTTTGTAATTTTCCACTTTGCTTCTGGCATTAGGGTGAATAAATGGAATTTCCCAGAGCAGAGACGTTTTCTCCTCTTTCCTTACCTAGTGAACCCCCTTGGCTTTCGCTGTGTCCCTTTGTCCCTATACTCTAGCTGTCCATTACCATGGAAATGAGTGGTCTTCTCTCATCTCCCTTTCTGAGGCACTGCCTCAGTGATGCTCCCACAGTCGCCTTCTCTTTAGGTGACATTAAGGTCTCACCTCTGTCTGAGATCTCCAGGTCTGGACCAAGTTAATTTGATGATTGAGTCATCATAGCAGGGAGTTGGGAGGAAGAAGGGATTAGAAATGTCCCCCTCAGGCTTCATTGTTGCACATACACTAAGTGATAGTGTTTTACTCTGGGAATACCATGGCCTTGATAGAATGACTTTTCTACAGTTTGGAGAAGCCAAATGCTTTGAGTTTCTTTTTGAAGAAGCTTCCTGAAGAAGAAATGTGTAAGAACTGAAGCAGAGTAGGATCTTTAGGAAGAGGACATGGCATAGAATCAGAAGAAGCTAGTGATCTTGAGTCCAGTCATGCACTAGAAACTGGCTCTCAGAAGATCAGAGGAAAGAGGAATGGGAAGGGCAGCAGCGCTGTTGTATTTGGTCCCAAGAAGGAAGATGAAAACAGAATGGTGGTCAGAAAAGAACATTGTATCCCGGCGCTGTGGCACACGCCTATATCCTAGCAGCTTGGGAGGCTGAGGCAGGAGGATCGTGAGTTCAGAGCCAGCCTCAGCAACAGCGAGGTGCTAAGCAACTCAGTGAGACACTGTCTCTAAATAAAATATAAAAAAGTAGGTCTGGGGATGTGGCTCAGTGGTTAAGTGCCCCTCAGTTTGATACCCCATAACTCTCCCACCCCACCAAAAAAAAAAGAGCAGCATAGGTAAAGAGTTTCTTAGAAATTGGAAGATGCAAGTACACCACATAAAATTACTTAGAAAATAGAAAGTTTGAAGAAAATTAATTCATTTGACTTTGAACTAATGTAAACTTTTAAAAACCATCTTCCTATCTGTTAAAACACTAGAAGCCCTCCTTCTTCACTGTTCTGTCTCTCTCAGGTGTGTTTGGTTACTGATTATGAGTGTTCAGGCCCTCAGATCAACTCAGCAAACATTTATTGAGCACTGTGCCCATGCATTATGCCAGTGCTGTAAAGATGAAAAGATGCCTTCTTCCCATTTAAGTTGTACACTAATAGTCAGTTTTCACATATTTTAGCAGCCAATATTTTCTTATTCCAAATACAGAACTAGAATTCTGACTTCACTTTTTCCCCCAAGGTCATACACATTCACTCTCTGCTCCTCCAGTTCTGATTTGCCTTTCCCAGAGGTGGGGAAATAACATTGCATTCTCAAAGCATGGCTGGGAGTGGGGCACTGAAGACTTACTGAGACCCTGTTGGAGGCTGCAAAGCCAAAACTATTTTTATATTCTAAGACTATTAAATCATTCACTTTTTCAGTCTCTCTTACAAGTGAGGAGTGGAATTTTCCAGAGGCCATATGATCTATATTATCGCAACAGATTGAATGCAGAAACATATATTAACCTGGGTGTAGTGACACACACCATCTCCCAGCCATTTGGGAGGCTGAAGCAGGAAGATTGCAAGTTTGAGGACAGTGTGGACAATTTAGATTCTATCTCAAAATTTTAAAAAAGGGATTGGGGATTAGGGATGTAGCTGAGCGATAGAGTACCATCGGATTCAATCCCAAGTACCACTGAAGGAAAAATAAAAATCATTAAGATGTGTTCTATTGCTGGGCGTAGTGGTACATGCCTATAATCCCAGTGATTTAGAAGGCTGGGGCAAGAGAATTACAACTTTGAGGCCAGCATGAGCAACTTAGACTCTAAGAATAAAACGGGTCTGAGGATATAGTTTAGTGGTAGAATGCCTAGCATTCAGGAGGCCCTGGGTTCCATCCACAACAATACAAAAAAAGTAATGAATAGATAAGTGCTTATTTTTTACAATTTTTCAGTTTTTGTATGTAATATTACAAATATCAATGTATATATAAAACACATTTGGGGTTTTTAATAATCTTTAAGAGAGTAGAGGGGTTCAAAAAGTGTGAGAACCGTTGACATAGAAAATCTTTTTTTTTTCTTTTTAATATTTATTTTTTAGTTGTAGGTGGACATTATCTTTATTTCAGTTTTTCGTGGTGCTGAGGAGTGAACCCAGGGCCTCATGCTTGCTAGGCAAGCATTCTACCACTGAGTACAACCCCAACCCAGCATAGAAAATCTTTAAGCCCTTGTTCCCAGACTTTAGCTCTAGGCATTTTCTTAAGTGTTGTGTCCTACTGGGTCTATATTCTACAGGATGTGCAAGCAGGGCCTCCTCATCTAGTGGGGTAGGCCCATGGGCTGTTCTGGACCTCAGGTGCCAGCTGAGTTAACTTATCCTCCCAGGTCATGGCAAAGCCTCTCTCCACTTATGTTCCCTTTCATTGTCTGTAATTTGTGTGTGTGTGTGTGTGTGTGCGTGCACGCGCTGGGATTGAACCCAGGACCTTGTGCATGCTAAGCACTGCTCTACCACTAAGCTATCTATCCTCCCCTCTGTCACCTGGAGAGATCATTTTTATGCAACAAGTAATGAGCTACCAGGTGAGGATGCCTATGCAGGTTCGCTTAGTAGTACTGGTAAAACTGATTTCCTTTTTTAAAGTTAAGAAATGTACATAAACAGAAGCTGGGGTTCTTTATTCATGTGTCCTACTGGCTCTTTTTGTATCACCTAGGGGTGTGCTCACCCCTTTCTGGACAAAGGTTACCAGGTGACACATTTGTTGCCTCTGCGCATGGTTAGCTCACAGATTGGTCTAGAACTAGTCTTTCTTTAACTGCCTAAAGGGATTTTGTTTTGTTTTGATACCAGTCTCCACTGGGTTGCCCAGACTGGTCTCTGACTCCTGGGTTTAAGTGATCCTCCTGCTTCAACATTCTGAGTGCTGGGATTACTGGCACAGCCACCACCATGCCAGGCCTTTTATTATTATTTCTGTAATGTTTTTAAAGTTTTGGATTCAACACCAACCTATTTGTATATTTATTTATTAAGCCCTCATTGTATGCAAGATGCTTTGTGAGGTATGTTGAGTTATACATATCTGTCAATGTACAGTTCCTGCCCCCAGATCCCAGAGTCAACTGAAATTAGTGTCAGTAAAATGAAGAGGGCTGGGGCTGGGATTCAGTGGTAGAGCACTTGCCTGGTACACACAAGGCCTTGGGTTCTATCCCCAGCACTGTCCACCCCACGCCCCTTTTTCCCCCAACAAATACTCAAGAGATTTCCTACATTGCATATATTTTAGAAGTATTTTCATTGTGTAATCTGTCACTCTCCTGTTTTGGGGAGGGAGTCAGAAGAATTTTTTTTCCTAGTTTGTATAAGTAACTTAAATATAAAATGTTATAGTAATAGCATTACTTGCCTAAAGCCCCTGTCTTCAGTTATATAGTTTTATAAATTTTTGATTGCTTGATGTAACCAGTCAAGGTTTGTCTTGCTTTTTAACAGTTCCATATATGTGGGTGTTTATAAAACTGTTACCAGGTAGTCTGTGCTTACCAATTCTTAAAATCCATAAATATGTATTTTTTTCTAGGTTGCAATAAAAATAATTGACAAAACTCAGTTGAATCCAACAAGTCTACAAAAGGTAAGAAAAGTATTGAGGTTTTTAAAAATGATTTTTGGTGTTAATTGCCATCTAATTTGCTCCTTAAGTCTCAATTGTTGTTTATTATGTTAGTGCAATAAAACTTCTGTTCTTCAAATGAATACAGTTTAAGTGGAGTGTTTTATAAAAATGTTAGTGTTATCTTCATTTGAAAATAATGATTTTAAATGTGCTGAATAACAAACTGAAGGCTCAGATTTAAAAGAGAATATTCTAAATATTGATTAGAATTTAGAGTTTTTTAAAAATAGCATACAAATATATTTTCACCTATTATGCAGATTTTGTATACTTTTATAACTAATACTGAAATCTTTAAAGCCAGCAAATATCACCAGGCACCGGGCATGCACCAGTAGTCCCAGCTACTCAGGAGACTGAGACAGGAAGGTTGCTTGAGCCCAGGAGTTTGAGGCCAGCCTGAGCAACATAGGTAGAACCTGTTTCTTAGGGGAAAAAAAAAAAATTTAAGAAGTGATAATTTTGTCTTCTCAAGATGGATGTTTTAATGACATAATGCATATAAAAGAGCTTTGTAAACTGCAAACATTCTATTGTAAGGTATTTTGATAAGTGTAATGCCCACTATATATTACTAATGGATTCCTAGTGGTTACTTACATTCTGGTAATTTTAAAGCTGTGTTGCTCTTAGTGTGTAGAAGGTGGGGAAGGACATAGACTTGATCTTACACTAAAAATGGTACTGGCGCCTGGGCTGTGGCTCAGTGGGAGGACATTTGCCTGGCACATGTTCAATTCCCAGCACTGCAGAACATAGAAATAAAAACAAAAACAATGTTAAAACAAGTAGTTCTTTGTGGTCTGCAGCCCAGAGTGGGCATTAAGGTTTCTTAAGATAGCCCTGGGACAGATTCTGAAATTCTAATCCTTTGTGGGTTTTTCTAGGTTTTTTTTTTTTTTTTTGTCTTTTAAGTTGTAAATGGACACAAACCTTTAATTTAAATCAAACCCAGTGCTGAAGATTAAACCTAGCGCCTCATGCATGCTAGGCAAGTGCTCTACTGTTGAGCTACAACCCAGCCCTAGTCCTTTGTTTTGGAGAGTAAATTTTACCTGTTTCTCAAACTTTAATTTCTTCATATATTTAAGAATTTAATATTAATAAGTCATTTAAGGGTTACCAAAATGTAGTATTCAGAACTCAAATTACCAGGTTTAGTGGGGACTCAACTCAGTATTCTGTGGTGTTAGAAATCTTCCCCAACTCATGTGTGCCTGGAGAGAGACCTGGACCTCTATAGCAATTTTCCAAGAAGTTCTATCCTATGATTGTGTCAGGTTGGCTGTGGTCTTTCCTTCCTCATGCTTTGCTTGCTTGCTTTTTTCATTGTTTTTGCTCCTAGTTTTTAATTGCAGTTATTCTTTATTATTGCAAATTACTCTAGATCACACCATTATTATTTTTAGTATGTGGGAGGTTATCTTGTTAGCCCAATAGTGTGTTTATGCATATTTGTACAACATTAATTTTGGCTTATGATAATCTAGTAATTAAAACTTTTAAGATTAGTTTGTGGTATAGTTGAAGTGCAAACTATCCATAGAATACTTATCCCAAAGCTTGATCTATTGAAGTCAAAAACTTGATAAGTAAAATATTTTCAGTTTATAAGGCATTATTTTAAATCATATGTGTACATTCTTCTCTTGTAAATTACTTACACGTTGACTTCAAATTCTTTTCCTTCCTTTTTTGGTCCTGGGGATTGAACTCGGGGGCATTTGACCACTGAGCCATATCCCAGCCCTCTTTTGTATTTTATTGAGAGACAGGATCTCACTGAGTTGCTTAAAACCTTTCTGTTGCTGAGGCTGGCTTTGAACTTACTATTCTCCTGACTCAGCCTCCTGAGCCACTGGGATTAAAGGCATGCACCCCTGCGCCTGGCTCAAATTCTTTTTCATTAATTTCTTTTCCATAGGAAAATATTAATAGGGTAGTATACACAGGTGTTCTGACAGCTTATTTTCTTTGCTTGGCACCATTCACAATTGTATCTCATTCGCACCAGAAACAGTTCTCCCTCTAGATAGTGATTTAAAGCCATGGAGCAGCCCTAGAAGATACATTGACTTTAAGGAACATTCTGCTAGCAACAGCATGCAGTTCATTTGCACTACTACTACTAGAGGATGTACACGGGTGGAGTCAGGCAATATTTGAACATACATGTTAAAATAGTATCAAGTTCACAATATTAGGCTGGTACATTGAACCATGTGCCTTTATTCAAAGCATATAAACCTGAGTTGAAGCATATTTGCAATTTGATGTTGTCCCACACTTGAGTCTTTTCATTTTTCCCATTTTCCCAGCTATTGAGTTAATAAACAGTGGATTCTTTATGTGATTTCTTTTTCCCCACTGTTTTTGTACTTTTCAACTTCTGACTACTATTATTGGGATACTATTCTGTTCATAAACATCTTTTCAGCCATCTTTTAAAGAACTCCGTAATGTTTATACCTGCAATGGTTTTGGAAACATCAGGAATAACAAAAACATTAGTCTAAGTTATTTTTAGCTTCAATTTAATTATACTAGGTATTCTTGCTGGGTATTACCTTATTAAATCCAAGTTTCATTAAAAAGCAAATCATGGGGGCTGGAGTTTTGGCGCTCAGCGGTAGAGCACTCTCCTAGCATGTGTGAGGCCCTGGGTTCTATCCTCAGCACCACATAAAATAAATAAAATAAAGGTATTGCGTCCAACTACAACTAAAAAATATTTATTTTTTTTAAAAAAGCAAATCATGGCTCATTTCAAGAAAATGTATATACTTATTCAAAAATGCTAGACTTTATTAAGACATGTCAGAACACTTAGGGTAACCCATCTGAAGTTCCCAATAACGTCTTTCAGTCTTGGGAGTAGACTGACTGTTAACACAAGAGTGATGCTTAGGAGCATGCAAAGCATCAGTACAAACCCAGGCTTCAGCCTGCCTAGCTGTGTGATAAGCCACTGACCTCCCTTTGTCTTCATAATAACGCCTTAGAGGGTTGTAGTGAGAAGCAAGTTAATATATTAAGCCCATAGTAGAGCTTAGAATAATACCTGACACATGATAAGGACTCTGAGTGTTTGACATTATCATGTGCTCAGCTAAATAATTGGTTTTCATTGCTTGGTTTCTGCAAGATGGAGAATGTTTTTTGTTTGTTTAAAAATTTCCCCCTCATAGAAAGTAAGTAAAGCTTAATCATTGAATGGTAGATTCTAGCTAGGTCTCTTTTGTAGGAATTAGCTGTACTAATAATAACAATTGTTAACATTTGCACATTTAGTCTGTGTACAGACTGAGCACTGTTATTTTACTTGTATTACTCATTTATAACTTCACGAGGTCAATTCTGTTCTTCAGTAAAGGGAGCCAGGGAGATGAAGTAACCTCTCTGAAATAGAACTCCACCTATGATAGGTGAAGTTGGCATTGAGTCAAGCAGGTTTGTTCAGTTGAGATGTTAGAGAACTGACAGTGAGTGACATGCTGGATCATTAGCATAGGAGCTCATTGCTGTCAGATAATGTGCCCCTCCCCTGTCCTTACTCTTACAAGCCCTGGATTTTTCATGTTAATTAGTCTGATAGACATCTTTCATCTCTACCTTTGTTAGGTAGATATCATTGCCATTTTCATTTTCCACTGGGGAAACAAGACAAAGGAGTTGATGTAGTCAAGTCCTCTAGCTAGTAAATGATAGAGCAAAAATAGAAATCTTGGACTGACTCCAAAATGTGGACTTTTTCCACTCCCTTATGTTGCCTTACCATAATTAATTAAATTTCTGTAATTCAGGATTTACAGAAAGTTTGATGGAAAATGACTTGAAGCTTCCTATTGAGTAGCTATAAAGAAGTTCATTAAGGGGCTGTGATTATACCTCAGTGGTAGAGTGCTTGCCTCAAATGTGTTTAATCCTCAACATGACATAAAAATAAATGAATAAAAGTATTGTAGGCCAGGTGTGGTGGTGCATGCCTGTAATCCCAGCAGCTCGGGAAGCAGAGGCAGGAGGATCGTGAGTTCAAAGCCAGCCTCAGCAACTTAGTGAGGCCCTAAACAACTCAGCGAGACCCTGTCTTTAAATAAAATATAAAAAGAGCTGGGGTTGTGACTTAGTGATTCAGCACCCTGGGTTCAATCCCCAGTACCAAAATAAATATATTAATAAAGGTATTATTAAAAAAAGAAGAACAAAAACATGAATAAAAAGAACAAGAACATCAAATTTGGGGAATATTTCAAGTATTTAACAGGGGCTTGTCCCCTTCCCCTTCTAAACACTGCAAAAACCATGTTTTTATCCAAGTTTGTTTATTCACTCATTCATTTAGACAGTAAGCACCTGCTGTTGTGCCCTGTACTGTTCCGTGTGCTATGGATATAACATTGAACAAAATGAAGTACCTGCTTTTGTGAAATAGACATATCAACAGGGAGCAGCAGTAAGCACACATACAATGTCATGTTAGTGGTATGAAGAAGAATTTAGTAGGGTGCATTAACTATATAATTTTTTTCTGTAATCTAAATGTTTTCCATGTCTGGGGCCTTGCTGGCCCTTCCCAGGGAGAATTCCTAGAGATAACAAACTATTGCCCTGTGTGTGCTTTTCAGATGTAAACCAGCTGATTCAGAGCCTGTGCTTCAAAGCACCAGTCCTCTATCTGGCTAGTGCACTCCAAAAGGCAGTATTCCTTTGCCCTAATCACCCCAGGCCAGGCACCAGGTAACCAAAGACAGCTCCTGCACCCCAGAGCCTGCTTAGAGTTTTACTCTGCTTGCTTTTCCCACAGAAATTGTAATAAAGGCCTTCTAAGTGGGAGATGTGGCCCTGTCCAGAGACTTGCCTAGCATGCCTGAGGCCCTGGGTTCCATTCACAGCAAGACCCTTTCTTGTCCTTGCTTTTCCCTGGTACCTTATGCCTCCCGACTCACCTAGGTGCTTTT